CCAGTGCAGTGCACATTCTGTGATCCGGCCTCATAGCGAGTTCATTGGAGGTGGTGCGGTAGATCCACGGCTAAATGTGCTTTGGTCTCATGTCTTACAATGTATGTAGTTTTGTTTGATTTTGGTCCTAATGTTGTGGTATGCATTATTATTTTGTACTGATTTTGTTTTGTGAGATTGTATGCAAATTTATTTTGATGTGTTGTTTATAGTATGTCATGTGTCTTTTTAAAATAAAAATTACACCTGTTAAAAAAAAAAAAAAGTCAAATGCTAAAGTATAGCAAGGCAGGTACCAGTCATGCCAATCCTCTGAATTCAATAATTCAGCAACAATTTAACAATTGTTTAACAATTTAACAATGTTTCAGTTTATCATCCTGTTACTCTAAGGCTCCAAGCCCCCTTTCATTGATCATTAACTTGCTGGTGTTAATCTAAAGATTTGGGAACACCACCATTCTTTATGTATGCCATCAATCCAACAGAAAGGGTGGAAGGAAAGTGAAAAAGAAAAAAACATTTGACCAGAGCCCACAGGGCCATCCTTAAGTATATGGGAGTTGTCTGCCTGCAAACCCACTTTGAAGCAGAAATAAAAGAAAAATCTGTAGGCAGGTAGTTTTTTGATAAACAAGACTTTATATGTCTCTTCTGGCAGAAAAAAAAAAGCTGCTTTATCAGACTGCTATTACATTTGTTATTTGTGTACACTGCTTGTGTTACATGTACATTCCTGGCATCTGAAGGATTCCAATGATGAACTGTTGGGACAATGTAGCTCAAGAGTTCATGCACAGAAGTTACATCATCAGGGGCTGGCCAACACGGGACCTGGAAGAAGATCAGGAGAAGATGCCTTGCATTGCTGGGGGAGTGCACACTACAGGGTAGGAGTTCCATTATGAACAATGTGCACTGTGCATACTCGCGCTTTATGGCATTAAGGAACCCACGGTGGATTTAGTTCCGCTTGAATGCAGCATGTTCATGGCGCATAATTAATTTTTTGATAAGATGACTCAATTAAGTCAATTGAGGTATTAAACAAACACCAACTTAATGTTGCATGCCTGCTGACAAAGGTAATTCATTTGCTGCCAATGAAGCAGAAAAATACTCAAAGTCTGAGGGAATGTGGTAAGAAGATCTGCATGTAGATGTCAAATAAACAAATAATAATTATTCTGGGATAGCATGATTACATGTCTTAATTTTAAAAGAAATTATAAAGCTCAACCAAACTCAGAGAATTAGGCTTTCAAATAAAAATTATCACGGTCACTGACCTCTGCTTAAGTATAACTTAGTGCTCCATTATTTCCTAAAGGAAAGAACTTCTACAGCTAAAGTGGGGGATAAAGGAATGCTATAATCATCGAAGAGGATCATTCATCAGAGGTCTCCAAAGAAGTGTGTGTTAACATCAAATCAGACAGGCCAATGTTATAACCCCTCACAATCTTACCTCTGCCACCCCTTAAAATAATCAAAATGGAGGCATGTAAGTAAAAAAACTATGTTAAGTGCTTTTTCTTTACATGTAGATGTTCTCAGCCTGACTACAACCCCCCACAACCCCTCTGGCTACGTGCATGGTGTGGGCAGGGTCATGCGCGTGTGGCTGGATGGGTGGCAATGTGTGAGGGGCATTGGAGAGGTAGGCAATGCTTATAATGGGAGTAGTAAGCACACCCAGCATCCCCCTCTCCTGCTCTCTGCCTCCTGCAAGCAGCACACGGAATAGTGAGGTGACCAGTCACCCTGCTCACAGGAAGCAGGCAGCAGTGACTAGAATTTTTTAGCAGACATGAACCTTCCAACAAAGATTAGGGATCCTAATTTTTAACACTGGGACATGGGGGGGGGGTGACAAATCTGCATGTAACAGCTGAGCACTTCTTTCATGATTTCATTTTGTCTGTGTCTGGAGTTGGGTTCCAACATATTACTTTGCCTTATTTTTTTAAATAAACTGTTTTATCAAGTGAAAATCCACTGGGCCAATGGCTTGTATTGGATGATTACAACTAGGGATGCAGTGATACTGTTTTTTCAGGATCAGGATCCTGAAATCAGGATTTATGACCCGTCACCCGGCTTCCTAATTGCCTGTGATGACCTAATCACCCGGCTTTAGAGGCTGCCTGGCTTCCTGACCAATCAGGAAGCCAAGCAGCAAGTCATAAGGTGCCGCCCGGCTTCCCGATTGCTCATTAAGTTAGGCTGCTTAGCAGCACGTCATGATCTGCCTCCCGGTTTCCTGACTGGCTAGGAAGTAGGCTTCACTTGTTCCTAGGCAGCCTGGCTTTGTGACCAATTAGGAAGCCGGGAGGTGGGTCATTACGTCCTGCCCTGCTTCCTGATTGGCTAGGAAGCCGGCTTCACGTGTTTGTAAGCAGCCTGGCTTCCTAACCAATCAGGAAGCCGGGAGGTGGGTCATAACCCACCGCCCGGCTTCCTAATTGGAAAGGAAGCGGGCTCCATGCTCCCTCAGGACTGCCGGAAGTTCTGGCATCGGAGGTAAGTATCGGAGCATTTGGGCGGGTACGAGTACTCGCCCAAACATTCGCTATTGGCACTAGTCTCGGTATCGGTGCATCCCTAATTACAACCTTTATCTTTCATATCCCCTGAGATGGGGTTTAATGTACGTGCTTTATTTGTCTCATAACAGAGAACATTAAGATAAGGTAGGACAGGATTGAAGTTACATAGTTCAGTACACAGTAGTTCCACGTACTGGTAGCAAACACATTGGCTTTGAGTCAAAGCCCCCAACAATTATTGCAACATATTTACTTATTTTAGAAACATTATAACTGTGCCTATGATTTTATTGGGGATAACTAAACCACTCACTTCAGTATGGCATACCCCAGGCATGTCAAACTCAAATAAAGCAGTAAGCCGAATTGTGGAACAAATCTTCAAAAGGTCCATGTTATGTCTACTGAGAAACTCCAGAAAAAGATTGAATACTTTGGTAATTATTAATATTGTAATAAATGAAACCTACATTGTAGCCCATGAAACATTTCATGAGGTATTCAGCTGCAAAAGGCAAAGAAGTACAATCTTTTTCACATGAAAAACAGTTAGGGGCTCATTTAATTTAAATCCATAAATCCAGATAATATTGTTACATACATTAGTGGATTTAATATCCCAGTTTTGACCAACAATCGCATACCGTCCATCATCTCTACCGGGACTAGGGCATTCCTCCCTTTGAGGCCCCGGGGTTTCGGTAGAGATGATGGACGGTATGCGATGGCAGGGCCACCCACCTCATCCCAGTCCTCCTCACGTCGACCCACCTCCAGGTACTCTATATAGGTGAGTACCAGATGCCTGCTCCGTGTGTGGTTTTCCGCACACGGGATTAATCGCAGCAATGTGTCCCCCCACTTATCATAGGCATTACATCAAGATGGGCACGCCCAAAATTATTGATATACAATAACTATATGCAGCAATTTCAATTTGATAGATGAATCCGATCCCCTGAAGAAGCTTAAATGCGAAACGCGTAGGGATGAATCATGTTGGGATGAATTTTGATAGACATACCTTGGAGATTATACAATGAATGGATCATTTGGAATGAATCATGGCTGATATGTATTAGAATTTTATTAAATTAATTTATGTATTTTGGGCTACCCACTAAGAAGGGATGAATCATGTTGGTCAAAACTGGGATATTATATCCACTAATGTATGTAACAATGTTATTTATGACTTTTATCATCTGAAAAATTTTATGTACAATAAATTTGATATATTTTTACACATGGTTTGATATACATCTCTCCACAAACCCTTTCTTTTACCTTTTTTTCTGCACGTCACCTGTACAACACCAGTTTGACATGCTTGGTGTACACAAATAACTGTACTTGTTTGCACAGTGGGATTCCCATTTTAAATGGAATCTTCTCACCTACTTATGACCGCTGAGTCTATTGGAATGTTTTACTGTGCGACTCACTGGTAAAAAGCAGAGTAGAATGAAAGCTTCTATCGACAGGGTAACTGCAAGTTTTGAAGACAGTTTAAGTCCCTTCAGGCACAAAGTAGTTACTAAATATAAGGGTGTAGTCACTCAATAGAGCAACAAGAGTTTCCCCCCCTCACAGTTTTATTGTATTAAAGGTAACCAAGAAGCTGTGATTTTAGAATATACAGAAACAATACCTCCTTTTGAAATTTGGTACAGAAATGCAAGCATCTGGGAAAAGGATGTTCTACAGGCACAATTATCCATGAGACGTATAGCAAAAATCATTAGGTTATTTAGCTCCTCAGCATCTACATAAAACGGACATTTTAGTTTTGGTAGGACTGACTGTTTAATGACTAATGAATGGTAAATGTAGTCATAAGATTCAGTCAGAGTAGGTAGGAATCATAAGATGTAAAATTCTGGTACCAACTGGCCAAATTATACATATTCAGTTCTAAGCATACAGATCAGCGGTCTGCTCCGGGTCAGTGACCCAAAACGTACTGAAGTCAGAGACAGGCAGGTAAGTAGCATTTTTGGCAAGTCAGCAATGGAAAATTCCACACATCCCTCTGCACAAGTTTCCTGTATCCCAACTCTACAAAAAAAAACAACTATTTAAAATGTTGTTACTTTTTAATATAGTGTAAAGAAAAGCTGGAACCTCGGTCAGCATAGCATTGCTGACCGTGTCTCTGCTGGGTAGATTAGTAGATTTCCCATGCTTCGGGTCCCAAGCAATACCCTTTGGGACTGGGTGCCCACAGTTTAAGGGGAAAAGACAGTCTTTCAACGTGGATGCACAAAGTAGCAATAACCTAAGAGGTTATAAAAGGTACCCACTTAATCCACAACACAAAATGTTTGGGCTGGAGTTGGGCTTTTAGCTCCTATATAACAACCTGACCTGCCATTAGACCTTATAAAATCCATTAGAGATATTTATGCGATGGCAGGAATGATTAAAAATAATTTACTGCCCTCTCATTACCTGTAGGTAAGGGTATATATATCCGTTTCTCTAATCTCCTTCGTAAAGCCTCATCAATGTCCCATGGAAAATTGGTAGCCGCTAGAACCATCACCATTTTCAATGGATCATCATTTTCCAGAGCACCTCCAACACCTAGTGTAATAAAGAAGATGACGTTAGCAGAAGTAAACAAGAAGGGACTATACAAAACATGCAGCATGGTTTCTGTTGCAAATAAATGTCTTCTTAATGTTTCGATAGATTTTGAGATTCTGTGATCACATCACAGAAGCTCACAAGGCCGCTCTGGTAGCTCACTGAGGTCTATGTTCATAAAGCAGAATGTCTCAGGCAATGTTTCAGAGGACATCAGTGAACACAGCGACAGGAGACTGAACCTGTAGGTCTGGACATAACTTTACATGCACTCAGATGAGGGAAACGGGTTCCATGTACAACTGTACCCACTGGCCTCAAACTGCAACTCTGACTTATTTTTATTTGTTTAGCGGAGCGTGTAGGAGCATATAACCAAGATTCAAAGGCAGCAGTTTCACTGGCATAGCCGCAGCTTTTATGGTTTTTTTTGGTTCAGCTGTAGATATAAAATCAGTCCTTTCACGACCTTCTTGATAATTAGAAGATATATGCTATATATTCTGCAGAATACAATTTATGTTACATTCTTACTTTAAACTGTCCTTTTAATGTAACATTCTTCCTGCTGGTCAGAAGTTGGGCAGCCTAACTAGATCACAGTCTTCTCTGCAAGCCTTCTGAGCATTTATTAGCACAAAAACATTAATCAACACCATGTTGTGCTTTTTTTTTTTTGCTGTGCCCTAAATGGGGAGATTCATTTTATGAGTCTTAGTGACCACTGTCACCAGGATAGAAAGTGAGGGGAAATCCAAACTTTTGCATTGTCACCAGGACAGGAATATGGGAAAAAAAATCTAATAATTGGACAATTGTTCCTGTGACAACTTTCTAAGAGAGGGATTTCCATTTTTTTTTTTCTTGGATGGATTTCCTCTTCCAAAACAGATCAAATTGGCACTATACAATAGATTAACAATTATGCAAATGATGCCCAGATAAACATTATCAATCCAAAATAATATCAAAAACAGTACATACCTTCAAAAATGTTTTTAAAGGCTATGTTAGCTATGACTGAGGCCCAGTATGGGGGCTGAAACATGTAAGCATTTGTTTGTTTTCTGCTGTTATGCCTTTTTACAAATAAAGTACTGGATGGACGAATCCCCTTGCGAGTGCCGGTTTTTTAACTATAGCTTATTGAAGGCTCCGGCAGAAACTTTACCAGGCACCGAGGTTCAAGCAGCAGGATTGGAGACAAGAGGATAGAGCTGCTCCATGTTTCTAAATGCTGTATATATATCATTTAGTCCTCCATATGTGAATAAAGTGCTAAAACAAAGTGCTTGTCACCTCCACATCTCTATGTAAAAACACACTCACAAGATGCATAGGACCTTTTAAAATGAAGGTCTTAAACAGGGTGGTGGTCTACTCCGAGCCTCTAGCTTTTGTGGCAATACAAGTCCCATGAGGAATTGCACGACTGACAGTTATAGGCATGACTTCCAGAGGCATGTGGTTAAAGCACAGCAGGAGGGCTGGAGTTGCCCACCCCTGTCTTAGGGCTTGTTCACACCATGCACTATTTTTTCAGATTGCACTGGATTGGAACGCAGGTATTGTTGTGCCACGCTCTTTGGTGCGGGCAATCGCACTGTGAGCGGGGGGGGGGGGGGGGGGGTTGCGTGGCTGCGGTGCCATTGACTTCAATGCACCGCAACTACCCCTCCCACCCCTGAATGCAGGAAGCTGGCCGGAAAGCAATACAGTGCGTTCCATCAGCTAACCGCGCTGGAACGCACTGTATATGGCGTTAACAAGCCCTTAAGCGCTTGATAAAATGGACACTTTCCAGTTTATAGGACCCTTAAAGAGTAGCAGTGGGATTTTCTGTTAGGCTGGCCATAAACTGACCATTTTATTTTCATTCAGTCCCACAAGCTGAATGAGAAAGAACACTTGATTTGTCACTCATGCTTAACAGCATAGATGGGGGAATTCCTCCCTTTCCCACCAGCTATTGTATTCTGATAGTGGCTGGTGTGTCTCAAAAGGTGACTGGAGTTGACTGGCTGCAGTCACTGTGGGCCAAGTATTTTCAGACTCCTTAGACAAAAGTCAGTTGAAAACCAACTTTTGTGAATAGAGGGGTGCCACCTGATCCACACACTGGTTGAATTTCAGCCAAAATTTGACCAGTTTTATGGCCAGCTTTACTTTGTGTCAATGGGAAAGGAAGTGAAGGTAATTCTCCCCAATAGAAGATAGATGGCAAAGAGAAAAAAAAAAACTTTAACGCTTGCCTTCTCTAACCAAAACTAACAAAAAAAAATAAAAAAAATTGGGCTTTAGATATACATACAGCTTGACTGCTCTACTGAGTGCCTTTTATTTCTTTAGAAGGACAATGAAGGCAATGAATGAACCTGATCTGTGCTAATAACACAATACATGGATACTTGGAGTGTAGTTCATCTCATACAAAGTAGTCGTTCAGCCATCTTTATACTATTTGAAAACAGTATAAAACTGTTATACTGGTATAAGCTGGAAATCCCCATTGAAATCAGAGTGCTGGACTGTAAGTGCTACATCAACCAAAATGACTACAAGCAAACAAATACCAAGAACCTTGGTGTGAAGACCATTCTATTTCGATGAACAAAAGGAACAATAAAAATAGATGTCGGTTCTGTAGTATGCCACTGTAAGTTTTACAGAAAGGATTAACAAACCTGACAATTTAATGTTGAGCAATTGCAGGTGCTGTAGTCTGATTTGAAATTTGCAGATTTTGTGCAAAGCAATGAATAATTTATATAATTATATATGTAGCAAGTCTTCCTTTCAGCCCTCGACTTGTTAAACATTTCAATTTGAATATGGCCCCACACTGTTCTAATAATCACTATGGCTTTTCTAAACTACAACAAGTGTTGTAGTTTAGCCAGAAACTGTATTTAAACACCTTTAAAAGGGTTACAATATTGTTTCAAGTGGTAACACTCTCTTGCAGAAAAATGTTTTAGAAACTATTTGACCTAAAAAACATATACAGTATATATATCTTATAATTGGTATGTTCATTGCCAAAGTATTTTTGACAATTAAATAGGAATTGCCCTCAGCAGAGCTAGTGGCCCTAGTTTCTCCTGTGCAATTCAGCAGTTTGAATTAAGTTTGACATCTCTTTTGATATGTGTTACACAATGATAATCCATGAACAGCCATGACAGCTAGTTACCGTACCATCCATCTGAATGAGCAGCTCAGACTTGACTCTCCGACTGGCCTCATGTTCATCAGATGTTCCTCTACGGCTGCAAATCGAGTCAATTTCATCAATGAAAATAGTAGTGGGTGCATAAAATCTTGCCTGTAGGAAGCATGAGACAATAACATGATTACTAATAGTATATACCGTAGGACCTCATATACGTGTGGGTGTGTATAAACAAAATCCCCCCTAGCAAAACATTTTCAGAAACATGAAGTGTAACATCTAGTCTTAGTGCATACAGTGGTTAAGCAAAATATTGCAGCTTAGGTCCTGGGTTAGTTGGTAGGGTCATTTGATTGTGCTCTGCTTTGTAGCTGGTGACTTATGTGAGCGGTTCACTCTGTAAAGTACTGAAAAATACACTGGCACTATATAAATACTGGAGATTAATACCAGTGTGATTTCTTGTCCAAACCAGGCACATGCAGATCTTTCATTAGAAACAACAATTATTGTCTTAACATCTTCCAAACACCTGAGATATCACAGTGACTGAAAAAATGGCACCATTCCTCCAAAAGTCATACACACATAGAAAAAAAATCAAACAGTTAAGACCAACCTGTGGCGTCTCTTCCTCCATAGCAAGACATAATTGGGCAGTTCTAAAACATTAACCCACATGGGATTTTCTTACGTGCTCCAGATCTTAGTCAAGACTAGAGATCAGCTTGGGTCAGGGCAATCACTGCACATAAACAAAGGGGCAGGATGGTGGGGACATCATGGATCTCATATGGGCACATGCCCATAGTATTTCAGTGTCATTGACAAAGTATGGCCATACAAGGTCAGTGATGTCACCAGCATCCCATCCCTTTGTTTACGTGCAGATGTGGGCAGGGAATGCCTTGGCCACTGCCAATTGTTCGGATACGGACAGCTTCCTTCCAAATTCAGTTGAGTTAAGGTTCAATCTGAACCCAAGCTCATCCCTAGTCAAGACAATGCAATGGAGGGGGTGAGAAGAGATACAGCATGACTCACTTCAGCTCTGAAAGCAGAACTCTAGATTTGTAGTTTTGGATGCAGTAAAGAGGTGAATTCTATCATGTAAGATAACATTTTCCCAAAGTTAGGGAGGATCCCACATTTCACAGTTGTCACCAGAACAGATGTTTGAACTGGGAGAATCCTTTTAACTCCTGTTCTAGTGACAGCTATCAGTGTTGGATCACCCCTCACTTTCTGCTCTGTGACTATGACTATAGTGACAGTATTCCAGGCCAAGGTAAACACTAAGAGGAATGAAATACTGAAAGAAAATTTAACCTTTCCCCACTTTATCCCCCCCCCCCAAAAAAAAACCCAAACAAAAACAAAAGCGCAAATAATGAAAAATTTTAAACA